ATCAAAGTACCCAACTTTTTTTGTTTTTTAACAATTTGTGTGTTCCATGTTTTTGTCTCTTGCGTAAAGATTTCGACTTTCGCTGCTTTTTCTTGCATACCATTGTTGATATGTTCGTCTCGTGGGTTAATCCGTAACGAGATCATTGAGAAATTACATGTCTATGCTGCAACTTGTTGATATGTTCGGGGATCGATGCTTTTGTGGGCTTTGCTTTGATCAGGTCTGATTAGCCCGGTTATGAATCTGGGTCAGTGTTTCTACATAATTTGGCTCTGAAAACACTAGATTTTATCTTTTCTTCTTCCGCTTCGTGCTTTTGTGGGTTTTGCTTTAATTTCCGTGGCTGTGTTTTGTTTCAATGATCAAGTCGTGAATTGAAATCGAATGTATTTGTTGGTATCTTTCAATTTCTTTCACGATCTCAAGTAGTTGAACCATCAGTTTGATACTGTGATCTTAAATATCTGAGCTTTATACTCTACCCCGTCGTGTTGCTCTGGACAATGTATGTACTTGAGCTCCTTGCGTTTTGTTTCTACTTTTCATTCTTTGATTGTTAATTTCAATGTTCATACTTTGTTTCATCTTTAATCTTTGTGTGTTTTGGGATGTTTTAGTTGTCAGATCTTGTACCGTTGTACGTATCTGATTTGCCAAAAAACTATGATTGATTGATTTCCCTTTGCTGTTTGCTCTAAATGTTCTTGATGTTTACATTTTTTCAACAGTTTAAGATTCAATATTATAAATGCAGCTCTTTTGCCCTCCTTCAGGTTTCATTACGTTGAGCATGGTTCTTTCGATGGACGGGGAAGATAATACTATGGAAGAAACAGCTGTTATGGAAGATTCCTATGATGATGGATTTTCCTGTGGAGATCCTCGTGTTGAGCCTCGTGTTGGAGATGAATTTCAGGTCGAGATTCCTCCTTTGATGTCTGCATCCAAGCGTGCTAAGTTTCTTTCGACTCCTGTTGCTTTGGATGATTCTTCTCATTCCTTTCTCGTCGGACTACCTGTTCAAGTAATGTGGATAGACAAACATAGAAGAGGGCAAGGAAATGGAGATGATAAAGTTGACATGAACCAATCTTTGAAATCTTTAAGAGCCAAAAAAAGCCGTTGCTCTACAAAGAACAGAGGCAAGAGTGACAAGAATTTTGAACCGAAGAAGCAAAGACTGAATCTTCAGGCTGTTCCTGTGATACCGTCCAGTTCTTGGGAAGATGTTGAGGTGGCTAGCTTTGTTCTTGGTCTATATACATTCGGGAAGAACTTTACTCAGGTGAAGAATTTCATGGAGACCAAAATAATAGGAGAGATAGAGTTGTTTTACTATGGAAAGTTCTACAATTCTGCTAAGTATCACAGTTGGTCTGAATCCCGCAAGAAGCGGAACCGGAAATGTGTATATGGAAGAAAGCTCTATTCAGGTTGGAGACAACAACAATTGTTAACCCGTTTGATGCCGTCTATTCCTGATGAATCTCAGAAACAAATGCTCGTGAATGTGAGTCTCTTTCACATCCTGATGCGGAATTCTTAACCACTAGATATTGTTTGTTCATTAATCTTACAATTTGCAGGTCTCTAAGTCATTTGCTGAAGGTAACATCAGTCTGGAGAAATACGTGAACACAGTGAAGAATCTTGTGGGTCTCAGGCTTCTGGTAGATGCCGTGGCGATTGGTAAAGAAAAGGAAGATCTCTCGGTTCCTACATCAACACCAATGAAGACCAAACCATGGTTCACGGTTTCTTCAAAACCTTCTTCAGTCCCGGGCTTAGGGACTTACGATTCTCTCACAGCTGCTGGCATAATAAATCAGTTAACTGGCTGTTCACGTCTGAGCAAAGGCCGTTGCAATGATATATTCTGGGACGCTGTATGGCCGCGTTTGCTAGCCAGAGGATGGCGTTCAGAGCAGCCTGAGGACCAAGGCTATTTTAGATCTAAGGATTACATCGTTTTCATTGTCCCTGGCGTGAAAAAATTTTCAAGACAGAAGCTTGTCAAAGGCGATCATTACTTTGATTCCGTTAGTGACATTCTAACAAAGGTTGTATCAGAGCCTGAACTTCTTGAGATTGAAACAGGAGGAGAAATCAGAGAAGCGACCGTCAATGAATTCGTTGTTGCAGAAAACTCTTCTGACCAATCAGATGAAGAGTCTTCCCTGACTGAGAGTCGAAGACACCGTTACCTCAGGTCTCCATGTTCTAACCGTGGAACTCTAGGAATGAAATTCACTGTTGTGGACACTAGTTTGGCTGCTGGAGGAGGGAAGTTGTGTGATTTACGAAATCCTAAAGCAGTGTCTCTAGTTTCTGAGCCGAAGGCTTTACTAGGAGATAAAGATTCTTCTGCGCCTAAAAATTCCCTGGACAATCAGAATGTGGAAAAGTATCTAGTGAGGCCTCTAGATGCCAAGAACCAAATGGATGACCAAATGCGATTCACGATTATTGATACGAGTGTAGACCACTGCAAAAAGTTATCTGGGTTTAGGAGATGGAGATATTTACCTAGTGATGACACAAATAGAGGTTATGTAGGGGCTGATTCTGCTGTAAAGGAGGAGAAGACTTTTGAGAAGCTTAAGGATCCATCAAAGAGGTTGATTAAGCATAGGTCTACCCCTCGAGTAGAAACTAACTATCATTCTGCACCATATTTGAAACGCAGACGGCTCAGTGCTTGCATTTCAAGAGAAAGTCCAGTGTTCAAACATTTACCGGAGGATGACACAAAAATGACTGTTTGTCTTAAATCAGAGCAGCAAGATATATGTGCAGTCCAACCACAAAATAGCACTTGTGAAGAGATGAATCAGGACAAAGAGACATATGAAACCGTGTTATCGGTTCATAACTTAAAGTCTGATCAACCAAAAAAGACTGGAACTGGGACGTCTTCTTCGCTTGTTGAGATTCAAGGAGCATCAGAGATTAAACCAAGTGGGTTCAACTCTATACCCGGTGTAGACAAGCACTGTTCTCCAGAGAAGATAAGAACAGCCCAAAAACTCATTTTGTCACAACAAGAACCGAACCGACTCTGTTCAGTGTCGGACTCAGAAAAACAACGCGCTTCCAATGATATGGAACAAAAGCAAGTATTTGAGCTCCCTTCTATTTCAGGGTCAAATACTAATAGATGTTCTTCCAATAATCTGGGAACTACTCAAGAACTGGGTTCATCTGAACAACAACACGACCAACAGAATACAGATGGTCAGAGAAGACAGAGCACAAGAAAACGACCATTGACCACTCGGGCTCTGGAAGCTCTTGAATCCGGCTTTCTTACAACCAAGAG